CTATGTGAACAAGCCCACATATTTTCGCTAGGGGAAAACCCGTCCATCATGTCAGACATAAGTGTTTCACACCTCACCTCCTTTACTTTGACTTTGTATGCAGTTTAACTAATGTTTTTATGGTTTATGGTGTAAACAGCCAGTAGGACACGCAGACAAAGACAATGATGTTTAGGGTCAAATAACTGGTTTCTGTATACCAGGAATCAGGCCCAGGCTAAACCTGCCGTTGACGCAGATGCACAAAAGAATGACATATCAATTGTTGGCCAACCCTAGGACCATATTGTGCCATAAAGATATTGAATCATCTTACTGGACAGACTAACTCAAGCTAATGTCTTGGCTATACTGGCCTTGAGGATGATGTCACAGGTGAGCTGTGAAGGCTAACATAGAGGTTTTATATGATCATACTAAAAGTAACAGGTTTTTTTCTATAACAATATTAAGTCAGTTTTTCTAATAATAATTGAAGCCATCTGGCTGAATTAGTAAAATCAAAATAGGGGGCAAGGGCAACAATGCACCCTTGTGACTGCTATCGGTCACTGATATTTAGTCTAAATTAAAGTAAACTCAAAATGTCTGTGTTTTTGGGGGTGTACAGGTCCATGGATCAGTGGGTGCTCACTGCCTAAGTACGCAACTTGCAAGCCTTATCTTGCCTAGCCTTACCTTGATGTATTCTATGTAGTAACATTGTGTATTTGTATGTGAGCCTTGAAGAGCAATAGTTAGACTTCTGTCTGTGGATAACATTTAAGTGAGATACCAGATTTGTGTTACCTAATACTCTAATACATTACTGAACACATAAAATGGCCTTGGACATTCGAACGGTGTTTATAGCACCTCCTGTAGAGCAGACATGGAGCTACATGCTTAGTTCTTACAAACCCTAACCCAGGATTCCTGCTTGTTTTAGATTAATAAAGAAAAACAACTACAAAATCTGTTGGAAATCTTAAAAAAAAAATTAAAAATAAAGTTTAGATGCCAGTTACTATATATATGGGGAAAAATAGATTTAAAAAAAATACTATATTTCCAACCAATTTAAATGACAAACATTGAAGTCTTTTGTCACGTAACAAGTAGGAGAAACCACACTTCCAAGTGTTTGGCTGTCAACTGTATAATGCCTTGACCTTCTAAGTCCCAGTAAAGACCTCGTTTATTATCCAGGAAATTCCTAGTTTCCTTACCTATAGGTGTGGTGCAGTTGTCTGCATATCAGATGTCTCACAGTAACACCAGTGGCCCTTTGACTCCGACTCACAGCTAAATAGTTTGGTTACTGTGAGGCAGCTCACTTTGGAGTTAAGTACAAGCAAGCGGTGGGTACATGTTTGTGAGCACTGTTAAAAGAAGAGGTCAGTCTAACCACGGTGATGGTCTTTTGATATCACTAAATCACTGATACCCATCTAATCTCCTTTCTCCAGGGGGAAACGGAGTTTTGGTTTCAACACTTAATTTGATAATCTGTGAGAAAAGCACAAAAGGAACATTCTGCAGATTCTTAACCTTTCCTCAACTTTGGCACTCCCAGAGGCAGGAAAGGAGTATCTTTCACCACTGTTATTAGTTCACAGAGACACCCTTGACCTCTGCAGTGGTAGCCAACTGTCAACATAACCCATGCTTCTTTTTTTTTTTTTTGGTAATACAAGTTTTACTCTTTTTGATTCAGCCGACCCAGTTCCAGAATACTTTGAGTTTTAACACTGGAAATATTTTAACGATTAGTCGACACAAACTTATTATATTATGATTTCACAAAATAGCTATAAAGCCCAACAAAGAGGTTTTGTTTTTGTAAGACTTTCATATCTGACAGCTGAAAAAAAGTAAATAAAAGAAACTGTGAAGAATCAACATTCATGTTAATATTATGACAAATAATGACTGTAATCATTACAATATACATAAACTGCAACAATACAATTATTTTAGCATGACTTATTATTAATGTATCATTGTTATTAAATGTTTGTATTATTATTATTTTATTTAATAATAATAAAATAGAGCACTGTTGCAAAATAACAGAATACTGTTACAACAATCATCATACAGTATAATGTAATGTATGATAACTATTATCATTTACATTACTGCTTATATTTGTAGTTGACGTAGCAGTATCAGATATAATAGTACGTGTAGTTATAGTTGTGATAGTAAGTGAAAGTAGTCGTAATATTATTAGTATTATTGTTGTTATCATTTTGATTATTATTCTGTTATTATTAACAGTAGTAGCAGTAGTACTGTGAGAAATATTACTATAATACTTAAAAGAACATTTTCCACATACTGGAAAAAAATACTATTTTTTTCATTATATTATTATTTTTATTATTTATAAATGACGGCATTTCCTCTTTTATAATATAATTTTTTTCATTATATTATTATTTTTGTTATTTATAAATGACGGCATTTCCTCTTGAATAATTCTATCAGTTAATGTACGTGTTTGTTATTAACACCCAGCACCTGGTGATCACTGTTTTTTCTTTTTTTTAATAATAGGACATGTTTGGGTCAAAAGAAAAAAAAAATTATTAAATCTCCAAAAATTAAACTTTTATTATTATTATTTTGAATATCCTAACTTGAAGACTTGCGGCTGAACCTCGAGCTGCTGCATAAATATGATGTCTCTCTGTGATATGAGCAGCAGGGGGGGGGGGGGGGGGTGAGGTTCTCTGGGTATCTTTTTATTGGCAAAAATATTTAAGAACCCTTAAGTTATAACTTGTTTGAACGTGCGTGTGAGAACACGTGTCGGCGTCATGGACCGATACGGATATTGAAAACACATCTGTTTCCAGACTCAGAGTATAACAAGAGAACGAGCACGAGTTGAAAGAGAACCCGGAACAAAGTTTTCCATTCTCTCTCTCTCTCTCTACCTTTCTTTCACTCACACACGCACACGCACACGCACGTACAGACAAATACACTGAAGTACACACACGTACTCGCGCACACAGACACATACGTGGACTCTCTTTCTCTTGCTCTTTACACACACACACACACACACGGACTTTCTCTCTCTCTCTTACAAACTCACACACACTCACACACATACACAGACTCTCTCTCTTTCTTTCTCTCTCGCTCTCTCTCTGTCACACACACACACGCAGACAGACACACACACTGGGTGGAGGCTGAGGAGCTTGTGGTGGTAATGAGAGTTTAACAAGACCCAATAAATCAGTTAAGGGTAATAGTTTATTGCCCTAAACACTTGCCATTGTTTACCAGGATTCAAGCGGGTTTTTGAATAACAGAAAAAAAAAAGAAAATATTAATTAATCGTCGTACGCATGCAAAATAATAATAATAATAATAATAATAATAATAACAATAATGTATACTTTTTATTTTTTCTTACTTCTCCCTTTTCTACATTGGTTATGGTAATATTTGCTGTGTCCTGAACGCCCCTCACCCTTCGCCCTGGACCCGCCGCCCCCCCTCACCTCAGCCGTCAGTAGCCCCCCTGCAACACATTTCCACCGGGTTATCACAATTGCCATTCCTCCCCTCCTTTATGATGTGTTACCCAGATTACCATCAGTGCCCCTCAGATATTTTTTAACAGATCCTCGGTGCTCGGCAATATCCACTCGGAGCCATCTGGTGCAGATCAAAATCTATACTGACTTCTTGGGCTTCCAGTCGTTAAGGCATTAAATCTAGATCTACAGGGTACACCCACCCTCCCGTCTCCTCACTCCACCCCCACGCTGAATCGAATCGGTGGCAGTGCTGCTGCTGCTGCTGCTGCTGCTGGTGGTGGTGGTGGTTGTGGGATATGTAAGAATCAAATCAAATAAAAATAGAAATGTTAAAACAGAGACAGCTCCGCTGAGCCACAGAGCTGGGTCACAGTGGGCAGCAGACGTATCAGCCAAGGGTTACGCAGATTTGTATTTTCTTTTTTTTTTCTTTTTTTTTTTTTTTCCAGACACAATGCGTGTTTTTCCTCTTCAAACTTATTTTTTGTCAGATGTTTACAATAAATAAAAATAGTATTTAAAAATAATTTAGACATTTTTAAAATAATATTAAACACGGGGTATGTTTATTAAGTGTGCGTGTATACAAATCATACCAATTCATTATAGGGTTAAAAGTGTGGAAAGTCATTTACTTAAATGATGGTAGCAGTTCTGAACGGTGCGTTCACGGACCACCGCTGTTTGATGGAGTTGTCTGTTCCCTTTTTCTCTGCTTAAAACAACAAAATGTGAAGTGGCTCTCTGTGGTGGCAAACACACACACACACACACACACACAATGCGTGTGTAGATAAAGCCGCGGGCCAGCTGATAAAACCTGTATGATAAATCAAACAAAAACAAAACACCAAATCGATCAAATAAAACTTGATAATTAGCACGCACTGTGAATAGATTTACTTTAGTTTGTTTGTTTTTTACTATTGACTGAAAAGCGTCGAAATCAATTATTAATTAATATAAGGATTTAACGTTAGGTCTAATGGCAGTCGTCGCGCTTAATATATGGATTTTTCGTTTGGTTTAATTTTTGTTTTAATGTTATGAGAGTTCAGCAAAAACGTGTTAATTTGTAAGTTTTGAAGTTATTACAATTTTTCTTTGTAAACTTTTATTTACAAAAAAAAAAAAAACATTGCGGGAATTTCGTGTGGTAAATTTAAAAAAAAGTCATGTTTTTTTGTCTTTTGTTGTTTTGTTTTTTCTCCGAAAAACACATTTCCACTTTTTTATTATTATTATTTTTAATTAGCCTGTTATTTAAATGCATTCCAACTAAGTTCCTTCTTGTGACGGGTTTACTTCCCCCTGTGTCGGACAGCTGTAAAATCGTGTAGACAGGTTGTCATACAACAATCAAAGCCTTCGGTGAATGGACTCTAATGCTCGAACATTTAACATACAATAAGTCCAAACAGGGAGAGAGAGGTAGAGAGAGACGGAGAGAGAGACGGGGTGAGAGAGAAAAGGGGGGAGAGGGAGAGAGGACGGGAGAGGGAGAGAAGGGGGGCCCCCAGCCAATGTGCTTCTCTCACTCTATATTCACTTTATCCACATTGCTGTGAACGAGGAGGAGCTTGCAGGCTCAAGTAGGGGATGCCAATCAAAGCATCAACTTCAAATTGTATCTGAGAGATCAGCCTGGAGACCTCAGGGCCAGGCGCGTCAGTCGGAGCGCAATTGTTGATCTGATCACATCCAGCGGACTTTGCGCGAGAAAAGAGAGGAAGCAGAGATTTAAGAGCCGCTTGTTTTGACTGCATTTACCACTGCACGTCTCTAGTATAGCGGCTCTCTGACTCTGGCTTGATCGCGTCCCCTTCCTCCGTTCCTCCTGGTTCTTACCTTTTTCTTCTTCTTCTTCTTTTGCCACAACTCACACACTTCCTTTTTCTACGCATAGTTTGTCGGACGGTACAACTGTGCGACTTGTGGGCTGAGGAGATGTCTTTCCCCCAGCTAGGCTACCCGCAGTACTTAAGTGCCTCCCAGGCGGTGTACGGGGGCGACAGACCGGGAGTGCTTACGCCTTCGTCCCGCGGAGGGAGCACCGAAATCGGAGGAAGTCCTTCCGCCACGGCGGCGGCGGTCACCTCCGTCCTGGGCATGTACGCCAACCCGTACGCGCACAACTACAGCGCTTTCTTACCGTACACCAGCGCGGATTTGGCTCTTTTTTCACAAATGGTAAGAATATTTTCATTATTTTCATTGTTTTGTTTTCCTTTTAAAGACAAAGTGAAAACAAGTGGGTTCTTTTTTGTGTGACGTCCTACTACAGCCACCTGGCAGTACGGTGCTGATTTCAAACTACAGTCACCTGGCAGTACGGTGCTGATTTCAAACAAAAACACACACTAAAAAAACGCATCTATATGTTTTAAATTGATTTATTTTCTTTAATTAAATTGAAAATTTTCGTTGAGACGTTTTGCAGGTTAAATTTTTGTTCATCTCAAAAAGTTTGATTGGACCAAGCAAGAAAAAAAATAAACAAAGCCAAACATTAGGCCCGAGTTTTTATTTTCCTTCAAATAGTAAAAAAATAAACATTTGATATTTATTTTATTATTATGCATTATCATTTTACAACTATATTTTGTATTACGTCCTCAGAAGAATAAAAAATGGCATTAATTATAAATTATGGAACAGGAAAGTTTTAGCATCAGTCGTGTTTACTGCGACGTGGCCGTATATTCTTTAATAGATTTACAAAAAAAATAGCATCTAATACAAGGTGCGTTAGCTTCTTACTTACAAAAAAATATCTAATACAAGGTGCGTTAGCTTCTTAAGTCATTATGTCACAAGTTTTCTCCGTGCGTCATTTCGTCCTCTCAGAGATTTACACGTGTTTTTTCTCCCCTGTGCACACACACACACACACATGCACACACGCACGCACACTGAGCTAAAGTGCACACGCTGATAATAATTAACTGCAATGTGTCGACGTGCTGGCTAATGTGTGCGTCAGACGCACTGAGGCTGGGTACTGCGCCAAATGATCCAAAAACTCAACTCTTCATATTTGGATAAGATTAGATGTTAGGCTTCAAAGGAGAAAGAGAAGAAAAATAAATATTAATATTCCAAAAAATAAGGTGCCTGTTCGGGGAAACTGAAGTCTGGGCCTTGAAAAGTTGCGTCCACATAACTTGAGGAGAGTTACAGGATAGATTTTCAAGCAGGCGTGAAAACTTTGAACTATTTGCATGCCATCTGTGTGCGCTCACAGGAGCGGAGGGGACCATCTCTTGTCCTGTTCACTGTTTGTTCCCTTATTAGACTGACACGTGTGAAAAATGTCTGCTAATAAAAGCTCTCTGACTCTCGGTGAATGATGGCGCAGACGCACCGGCTCTTTGCGTGATACTCTGCAAGTTGAGACGCTTATTTGTGGAAAGCTGAGGGTCAGGTGCAACTGTAACTCCAGTGTGTGTGTGTGTGTGTGTGTGTTCGTCAGTTTGAGTGTGCATTACAAAGCAAACATTCCAGATACACTGCGCTATAAAGTTGTTTGGTTAAAATTATCCTTAATGATGACACAGCTCTTATTAACGCACTGTTTATTATTATTATTATTATTATTTTATTTCTGAGGTCCCAGTATGAACTTAAGGATACCCCCGGAGTCCACCCTGCTAGTTTTGCTGCCCACACCTCTCCGGCCTTTTACCCATATGGCCAGTTTCAGTACGGGGACCCGGCCAGGCCCAAGAACGCCACCAGGGAGAGCACCAGCACCCTGAAAGCCTGGCTCAACGAGCACAGGAAGAACCCGTACCCGACCAAGGGGGAGAAGATCATGCTGGCCATCATCACCAAAATGACGCTGACCCAGGTCTCCACCTGGTTCGCCAACGCCAGGAGGAGACTCAAGAAGGAGAACAAGGTGACTTGGGGCAGCAGGAGCAAAGAGGACGGGGAGGATGGCAACTTGTTCGGCAGCGGAGATGAAGCGGAGAAGAATGAAGATGAGGAGGAGATTGATTTGGAGAGCATAGACATTGACAAAATCGACGACAACGACGGGGATCAAAGCAACGACGACGACGACGACAAATCCACGGAGGGGAGCAGGGAGCACAGAGGAGGTGTCGGTGGAGGAGCGGACTTGGACACTTTGGAGAAAAGACGGGCCTTCGCCCTGCAGGCCCACGAGGCCTTTGAAAAATCCAAGAGCACAATTACACTTCACCCGGGGAGTAAGGAGAATTCGGACGGCAACAACAACAACAACAACACCAGAGTGTTTGTTCCAGACAGACCCGGGAGTTTTCCTCTCCCGTCCAACAACAAGCCTAAGATTTGGTCTTTAGCAGAGACCGCCACAAGTCCCGACAGTTCCTCTCAGAAGCCCACCTCCCCCTGTGGCCCGGCGGCCACCACGCACCCATCTGCCCCGCACCACCAGATCCAAACCCACCCGGCTTTCCTGCCCAGTCACGGACTGTACACTTGTCAGATTGGGAAGTTCCACAACTGGACGAACGGGGCCTTTCTGGGCCAGAACTCCCTGCTCAACGTGAGGTCATTGCTGGGAGTGAACCAGCACCATCACCACCACCACCACCACCACCAGTTACCGGGCCAGCAGCCACAGCAGCCGCAGCAGCAGCAGCCGCCGAC